ATTTGCCCACTTTTGATGGGATTGTTTTTCTCTTGCTAATTTGTTTGAGTTCTTGCTAGATTCTGGATATTAGTCTTTTGCTGGAAGCTTTGGCTTATATTTTCATTGTATTATCTGTATGAAATTACTGTTCTTGTTAGGGTTTTCCTGATTATTCTAGCTTATTTATGTTTATGTTTCCAAATGGATTTCATGTAAGTTTTTCTGTTCCAGGAAAAATTTTCGATAATATTTTTATTAGGATCACATTAAATATATACATTTCCATAGGGACAATTGACATTTTTATGGTGTTAAATTTTTTATCCAAGAATATAATATATCTTTGCATTTGCTTCAACTATTTTGTGTCTTTCAAGAGTGTTTTGGAATTTTTCATATTTTAATTTTTGTGCAATTTTTTTTTTTTTTGAGTCAGAGTCTCATTTTCTTGCCCAGGCTGGAGTGCAGTGATACAGTCTTGGCTCACTGCAACTTCTCCCTCCCACATTCAAACAATTTTCATGTCTCAGCCTCCCAAGTAGATGGGACTGCAGGCACAGGCCACCATACCTGGCTAATTTTTGGGGTTTTGCCATGTTGGCCAGCCTGGTCTCAAACTCCTTACCTCAAGTGATCCACCTGACTTAGCCACCCAAAGTGTTGGGATTACAGGTGTGGCCCTCCATGCCTGGCCAGGTTTTGTGCAATTCTTATAAAATTGATGCTTACATATTTAATTTTTGCAAAGTTAATGGGACATTTCTTTTCCATTGTTCTAACTGGGTATCATTTATGTAGATTTCTGTATTTTATTATATAACCTGTTGTCTTCCTAATTCTTACATGGTTTGTAATAGTTTTTCCATTATATTTTTGGGGTTTTTTAAAAAGATATAATTATATTGTCTGCTAATGGAGATTTTACCTCTCCCTTTCCACTTATGCTGTAAGATACTTTCTCTTTGTAGTTACATTAGAGGAGCAGTATTTAGATACCAGTATTATGCATGCTCTTTTTCAAAGTGACTACTATTGCAGTCCCGGCAGCAATGTATAAAAGTTCGAATTGTTCCACATCATTGTTTAAGTGTGGTAGGTAGTGTCAATCTTTTTAAATTGTACCACTTCTAGTTTGTGTGTAGTGATATCTCATTGTGATTTTAATTTGTCTTTACATAATTACTGGTGATGTTAAACATCTATTGATGGACTTTGCTTTCTTTTTTCTTTTTTCTCTGGTATGCTTAGCTACCATTTGTATATATTGGTCAAGTGTCATGGTGAAATGCTTTGCCCATTTTTTTTTAATTGTCTTATCATATTCAGTTAGTTTCTTAGTATGACATTAGCTAAGGATTGATGTTCATTCTTTTCAATACCCATATCCGGTTGCTCTAACACCATTTGTCAGAAAATTTTTTCTTTCCTTGTTGAATTGCCTTCATATTTTTGTTAATAATTAATTAATTGACCATACTTGTATGGGCCTATTTCTGTACTCTCCATTCTGTTCTGTTGATTTAAAAAAAATTTTTTTTTTGCTAGTGCTAAGCAATCTGGATACTATAGCTTTATAGTAAGTCTTGGAAAGGATTGCATAACTATCCCAAGTTGTCCTTCAACTTTGTTGTTTTCAAACCTGTTATGGCTATACTAAGTCCTTTGCATTGCAAACTGAATTTTACAATTAGCCTGTCAATTTCCACTAAAATGTCTGATGAAAGTTTACTTAAATCTATTGGCCAATTTAAGGAGCACTAACATGAATGCTCCCTTAGTAAATTGAGCTTTCCAGTTTCTGAATGTGTATGCTCTCCATTTATTTAGCTCTTTAATCTTGTAACGTTTTGTGATTTTTTTAAAGTAATTTTTAGAAAATGTTATTTTTATTTTAGATAATTGCTGTTGCAATGCTGGATTTTTTTTTCTTTCTGAAAACAGTATCTTGCTGTGTTCTTCCAGCTGGAGTACAGTAAATGTTCACAGGCACAATCATAGAACACTATGTCCTTGAACTCCTAGGCTCAAGTGGTCCCTCTGCGTCAGCCTCCTGAGTAGCTGGGACTACAGGCACATGCCACAGTGTTAGGCTGGATAATGTTTTCACTATAGAGATAATTTTTGTTTATCTCGAAGAATTTTCTTTACCATTTCTTCTCAAGCATGTATGCTGCTGACAGATTCTGTTTCTTTTTATGAAAATATACTTATATTTGATTATACAATTCTTGACCAATTGTTCTTCTGTTGCCTCATGTTAAAGCTACCTTGGTCCATTCTCTCTGGACTCAATGTCTGAGAAGCAATTCATTGTTATTTGAATTATTGTTTGTCAGTAATGTATAGTTTTTTCTCTTGCTGTTTTAAGAATTTTTTTCTTTATATTAGTTTTTGAAACTTTGATTATATGTTTAGGTGTGTTTTTCTTTTTTTTTATCTAATTTGGGGTTGTCCGAGTTTCTTGAATATGTAAATTTATTATGTCTTTTACCAAGTTTGTAAAAATATCAGCCATTAATTTCCTTAAATATCTTTTCTGTCCCTGTGTCTTTGTTCTCTCCTTTTGGGTCTCCAGTTACATGTATGTTAGATTTTTTGATATTATACTACAGTTTCCTAAGGCTCTATTCATTTTTTTCTATAGTTTTTTTCTTTTTATTTTGGATAATTGTTACTGGACTAATTTCAAGTTTACTTTTTTTTGGTCATCTCTACTGAGCCTGTCTAGTGAAGGTGTGTGTGTGTTTTGTTTTTCAACTTTTTAATTTTATAACATTTCTATTTTGTTCTTGTATCACTTTTATTTTTTTGCTGAGAATTCCTGTTTTTTCATTCACTTCAAGTATCTTTTTCTTTACTTAATAAAACAGAGATATAATAGCTATTTTAAACTTTTAAAACTCTTTTTGTGATAGTTCCAGCATTTGGACCATTTGTTGATTATCTTTTAAGAATTGGTCACATTTTTCTGGTTTGTTGCACGTCAAGTAATTTTAGATTGTATACTAGACATTGTGAATTTGTATGGGTGTTTAAAGCTCAGTTGCATTCTCCAAGCCTTTGCCACATTGATTTGAATCTAACCTCTGTATACACCCCTCAAGGGTTAGTCATTGTGAGACTTCAATATGTGGTTTAAATTTCAGTTAAGCTTTTCAAATCTTTGATATGCTGGTTGGAGGGTTGTCCTGTACATGCATAGTTCAGGGCTTAGAGTGAGGCTTTTACAAATTTGTACACAGAATTCAGGATTAATTTCTCTGGTTCTCTTCTCTCCAGGAGTCTTCATACACTCTGTTTTTATCACTGGGCTTCAGCAATCTGACATTGGTGTGATGTATGCTGATTTCCTTTGTGTTGCTTCTGCTTGAGATTCACCAAACTTCTGGGTTTTGTGGGGTTTTCATTTTCATCAAATTAGGAAAAATTTGGCCATTTTTTCAAATATGTTTTCAATCCTCTCCTCTTCTGGGACTTCAGTTACACATGTTGGAAAGTGTAATATGTTCTGTGTATTTGTTTGTCTTTTTTTTCTCTTTGTTTTTAATTTTATAGTTTTATTGCTAGATTTAGATGTTCACTAATCTTTTCTTCAGCAGTTTTAAATATGCTGTTAATCCCATCCAGTATACTTTACATTTCAGATATATTTTTTTTCTGTTAGTTTAATTTGGGTCTTTTCTATATCCTCATGTTCATATCTTCCTTAACCTTCTAGTACATGTGAAATATATTTATTATATTGTCTGTGTCAGTGATGGGTTAGTTTCTATTGACTGGTTTTTCTCCTGGTATGGTTTATATTTTTTTCCTACTTCTTTGTATGCCTGATACATTTTGTTGAATGCTAGACATTTTGAATTTTGTTTTGGATGCTGAATATTATTGTATTTTTAAAAATACGTTGTACTTTTTTTTTTTCTGTGACACACAAGTTACTTGGAATCAGTTAGATCCTTTCAAGGCTTTCTTTGTAGGCTTTAATAGATCAGGTTTAGAAAAGGCTTTAATCTGGGGCAAATACTACCTTTGTAGTATTTGATGCCCTGTAAATTAGGAGGTCTTTGCATTATGGCTTATTGAAACACAGCATATTTCCAGCCTTATTCATTTCCTGTGTTCTTTCCCTAGCCACACATACACATACAGATCTCCAGAGCTCTTTTTCTGTGCAGCTACTTTTTCCTCCGTCTTTCTCCCCTTCATATTCTAGCCACCCTGGCCTCCCCAAATTGAATTCTTTCTCTGCAACTCAGTGAGATAACTGGACTCTGTGTTTGGGTTTCATCTCTCTGTACTGTGACCTGGACACTCTCCAGGCAGAAAGCTTGGGTAATCTTAGAGCTCACCTCATTTGTTTTCCTTTTCTCGGGAATCACTGTCCCGTGCTGCCTGTTGTCCAGTGATTCAATACTATTATCTACTTTATTGGTTTGCTAGTTTTTTAAGGAGGAAGATAAAGCTAGTCTTGTTAATTCACTAGGGCAAGGAAGCAGATAATGTCATCCCATTCTTTAAATTTAATGAAACTAAACTTGGGTTTAAATTAGCATGGTTTTTATTTTTGTTTTTCTAGTTACTCAGGTATTCACTTGTGTTTTAGTAAGTTGAGAAAAATTACAAAAATTGTTGGTTAAGATGACTAGTGTTTTGTATTCTTTTTTCCTTAATATTCATGTTGTTTCTATTATAGTCATAAAGGGCATGTATATACAGCATGCACTTTTCCAAGAACACAAATGTAAATTAAGTAAAACTTCACATTTCTAAGCTACTTACCATGAGGCAGCACGACTAAGCTTGAGAAGGTTCTTCCTATGAATAAATATATTCTGTATATGGAGACATGGCAAAGGTGATAATCCTTGTGTATGATAGCATTTAAAATTGTTTTGAAATACTAGTATATAATTCTATAGGTGACAAACATGTTCACCACTGTGGTCAGTGCTTTTGAGGAATAACCATCTTTGATGTATTACTTGATTTAATCTTAAAAATCACAATTTCTTCGTTAGCATTGTGCAACACGAATACCCAAATGAAGAGCTTTCAAAAGATGAGTTCATTCTGAAGTTAAAGGCAGAAGTACAGCGTTTGCTGGGTAGCAACTCAATGAAGCGTCGTCTGGTGACTCAGTTACAAAATGATCTCAAAGACTGTCATAAGAAAATTGAAGATCTCCAACAAGTGAAGGAGGATGAAAAAAGCATCGAGGTTGAGGTTTGTAAAGCCTATGGAGTTAAGAAGCCACTTTTAAAAGACTCAATAAAGAGAACTTTTACACATTTTTATTTTTACTTTTTTGAGACAGGGCCTCACTCTGTCTCCCAGGGTGGAGGGCAGTGGTGGAAACATGGCTCCCTGCAGCCTCAATCTCCCAGGCTAAAGCGATGCTCCCACATCAGTTTCCTGAGTAGCTGGGACCATAGGCACATGCCAGTATGCCTGGCTAATTTTTTAATTTTTTGTAGAGACAGTGTCCCACAGTGCTTTTGTAGAGACAGGCTAGTCTCAAACTCCTGGGCTCAAGCAATCCTCCTACCTTAACACCTCTCAAGGTGTTGGATTACAGGTGTGAACCATCATATCCAGCCCATTTACACTTTTTAAAATTAATAAACCTTTGACTTTCAGGGTATTATTTGACATTTTTGGAAGTAAAGTTTAAAAAAGGAACTACCCTCTAAAGGGATACTCACAGTCCCTGACTTGGGTTGGTTTGACTTACAGTTTTTAGACTTTACAGTGGTGGGAATGTTATATGCATTCAGTAGAAACCATACTTCAAATACCTGTAAAACAGTTGTTTTTCACTTTCAGTACAGCGTTCAATAAATTCCATCAGATATTCAACAGTTTATTGTAAAAGAAGCTTTGCATTAGATGACATTGCCCAACTGTAGGCTACTGTAAGTGTTCTGAGCATGTTTAAGGTAGGCCAGGCTAAGTTATGATTTTAATAGGTGAGATACCTTAAATGCATTTTTGACTTAATGATATTTTCAACTTATAATGGGTTTATTAGGAGATAAGCAATGAGTTTATCTTGTATATGGAGACATGGCAAAGGTGATAATCTTTGGTTTCTTAGGAGATAAACCCGTTGTAAGTTGAAAAGCATCTGTATGTTTTTTCTGGTCACTCTTGGCACCTAGTAAATGAGATACCAATTAGGTAAAATTTCTTTACTGTAAATAAAAGGAAATATTCTCTGTAACAAGGTATCTGTGCTTCTTTAAGATTGGCTTTTACCAACAGTACTCTAAAATCTAGTTAAAATAAATCCTCCATAGAAATCTTTTAGCATTTTGTCTATGAGATTTTCCTGGCCCATGTTCTTATAAGAAAAGTCATTCTATATGAGAACACTTATTATATAGTGATGGTGGTACAGATGGAAAAGGCACAAAATCTGATTATATCAGTCATTGAAATCCACCTCTGTATTCTTCAGTTAGGAAAATGAAGCTGGAGCACTTTGTGACACTTTTGACTTTATAGAGCCCATTTTAGACAAACTGAAACTAAACGCATGACTAATAAGTAAGTCAAAGATATTTCTGTAAGACCATGCTATTACAGAGATCTTTAGGACTGCTCTCCTTTATAGATGCCTTTTTTACCCTTCCATATTTCACAAATCCTCACCCATCTATACTCCCAATAGAAAATAATATATAAGAGACCTAATAACTAAGAAAAAGAAAAGAAGAGGGAAAAGGAATGTGAGTAGTGTACTCCTTTTCCTCCTGGATGGAGATAACGGTTTACCTCCTTCTTTGGTACTGTTTATCTCCTATTCTTTAAACCAGGAGTTGTGTTCATGGAAACAGTTCTGCTAAAGTATGTATGTTCTACTGTGCTAATTATTGTGGAATTTTAATTGTGGCTAATTTATATTTTGGAAATAACAGTGTTTTTACTATCAAAATCCTTTCCAGCCTGATTCCCTCTTCTGAGTATGTATTTGATGACTGAAACATATTTTAAGGTTAACAACAAATTAGATCAAACCCTGCCCCCCAACATTAACATCTTTAAATCAAGCTGTTTTCGTTGTGGCCCTTTAAAAGGATGAGAATGAAAGCTTGTTTCTCAATTTGTATTAGGACATTAATTAGTTTAAGCATTTTGGTGGGAGTGCGCTAAGATTTAGTAGAATAGAAACCTGATTTTGAGTCTGAACCTTAGATCAGGTATCTTGGTGCTTTCTTTGTTCTATATTAAAGTTGCTAATGGCATTTGCTATACAGATACACTTTATCATGTGTAGCGCTTGATAGTGGTCATGCATTGTGCTATTTTTTAGCCTTTCCCTTTCTTTTTGTAGTCTGGTTGATCAATACACTGAAGGAAGAACTATCTCATCTTTGAATATTCTTTTTGTCCAGCAACTCTATTGCCATAGTGAATTCTTGGTAGTCTACATGTAAACTCTGATTTTTCTCAAAGTTACTTCAGCCCTGGGCTCAAGTGAACTGCCTGCCTCCACCTTCCAAAGTGTTCGGATTACAGGGGTGAGCCACTGTGTTGTAGCAAAGAACTCAGAGTCTAGGTACATAAACCAACAAGTGAAATGGATTGTATATCTATTTTAAATCTTTGTAACCCCATAAACCAATAAAGAACTCAGAAAAGTAGATAAGGAAAACAGTAAGAGGAAAATATGCAAAGTTATAAAAACAGTTAAATCCAGGAAGATGGAAAAACAAATGGACAATGAAGGTATCTAAGAGGTTGCACTTTGGTGGTAACACAAATACAAATGAAAGCTATTGTTAGATATTCTTTTCCCATCAAAGATACTTATTTAAAGATAGTCACTGCCATTGGAGGTGAAGAGAGATGGGCAGACCCATGTACTACCTAACAGTATACATTTGTTTGGCATTTCTGGAAAGCAATTTGCCAAAGTCTATTATGAGTCTTAAAAGTGGTATTTATTGAATAAAATATATGTTCATGAGTTAATGCTGGCATAAATGAATACATACAGAAATAGGATAAATGCTTGATGGCATTTATAAATCCTATGTAGGAGAACATAGGATATTTGCATTGTCTCAAGTATCCTATAAGATACTTATCATTTATCATAAGATAAAAAATAGTAACTTTACAATGGAGATGACTGGCAGACTGCGCCTTCAATGGATTATTACCAGTGGTGAGACATAGTGATATCATGTGTCTCCTGCAAAGAGCACAAATCAGTTCTTGACATGCATGCAAAAGATGTATAACCCGATTTTAATAAACCCAAAAACTCCAAATTTAGGAACATCCTACAAAATACCAGGTTAGTATTCTTAGAAAACGTCATGGGTTTGAAAGACTGAAGAGCTGTCCTAGATTGAAGGAGACTCATGAAACATGACAGCTAAATGCCTCTCAGAATCATGGATTTGATCTTGGACCAGAAAACAGATATTTGGGGCATATTGGAGACATTTGTATAAGGTCTGTAGATTACTTGATAGTAATTACTTGCATCTATGTGAATTTATTAGTTTTGATCATTGTTCTCTAGTTATATTGGGGAAAGAAGAGTAAAAGCTATATGGAGATTATTTGTACTGTTTGCAGTTTCTCTAAGCATGGAATTATTTCAGAGTGAATACTCTGAAATTTTTAAGATTTGAAAAACTTTTGACTTCTTAACATTCAGACTAAAACAGATACCTCAGAAAAACAAACGAATCAATTATGGCCAGAGTCTTCTACTCCTAATACTGTCAGAGATGATATTCTGCTGCTTAAAAATGAAATTCAAGTTTTACAACAACAAAATCAGGTAATTATAAATATTTTTTATATTTTATGAGAATTTTTATTTCCTTGGTAAATACAAAAGATATAATAGACTTTTTGCAAATATAGAGGCAATGTAAGTTAGTAGACAAGTGTATTTGTAGGTGATGGTAAGTTCCAGTTACTTCCCTTTACTAGTGATTACTGATTAATAGTTTCATTGGAAGGTAAGTTAGTGTAGTTCCAGTTTTCTTTCTCTCTGGTAGCATGGCTGACAGAGGTATTCTTTCTTCTTTAGCCAGCTCTTGACCCAGAAGTAAAACTTTGTTTTTTTTAGATGGTTGCTGAAGATTATTGAATTCTGAGAATTATTTTAAGGCATCAGGTAGCCAGTACTTCTCTGGTTATATATTTTTGTTTTATGTATTTCAAAGTAAATACAAAATTTAAACATTTAGTTGTGTCAAAAAAACTACTTGTCAAATAAATGAATCTATGTTTTCTTCAAAGCATGAAGAGACTTTTTCTTTTGTAGAATTATAAAAATAATATGTCATATATTGTTATAGGGCAGAGATAAAGCACAGAAAATATTTAAAAATGAGATAAAACTAGTCAGTGAAAATGATGTTTATTTTCTCTAAGTCCTTTATATTCTCTTGTATCTAGGAACTTAAAGAAACTGAAGAAAAACTGAGAACTACAAATCAAGACTTATGTAATCAAATGAGACAAATGGTACAGGATTTTGACCATGATAAACAAGAAGCTGTGGATAGGTAAGGTCTTTATAGGTGCCTGACAACAGTCTCCTGGTTACCCTTCCCCTCTAAGTCCCTGCCCTTTCCCCCATTGACAAAAAGATTCAAAATGATTGAGTGAATTCTACCCTGTTGAGATCTTGGATTGGCAGAGATGAGTCCCTGGCTTTTGAAATGAGAATTTGGAACACATTTTCCATAGAAACAATGTTATGTAGTGGGTTGGGTTCTATAGTATCATTGAAGCTGTAGTTCACTGAAATATTATAGCTCAGTGTTTTTTTTAAATACCAGTCTGGGAAACTATTCTTTATAAAGAAAACAGTCTGTGAGAGGGAATATGTCTTCCAAATACCAAATCATAAATTGGAAACTGACTTCTGGAACATAACTTACTTGTGAGTTGGGGACTGCTGGTATTTGTATTTAATATAGATGACTTGAAATTTTGGAGGCATACCCTCATTTATTTCAATTAATTTTTTATAAGTAAAAGTCCCCAACATAGATTACTATCTCTGTTTGAAGGTCTGGGGCATTCTCATATCCAAGTTTCTAATTTTTCTCTAGAAACATTTGAAGAAAGAAAATTTTGAAGATTCTATTAAGATAGTTGGTTATTAATTAAATATTACCACTTTCAGTTCAGGAAAAGTAATCTGACCTCAATTATAATTTGCATTAGAGGGAAGGGGTGAGGAGGAAGGAAGGAAGCCAATTCATTTTGGTGTTAGTAGTGAGGCTGGGCATTGCCTTTGATTCTGCTCTGTTTCTAGGTGTGAGAGGACTTATCAGCAGCACCATGAAGCCATGAAAACTCAAATACGTGAAAGCCTATTAGCAAAGCATGCTTTGGAGAAGCAGCAGCTCTTTGAGGTTTATGAGAGAACTCACTTGCAACTGAGGTGAGAATAAAGAGTTATAGCTCCCTTTTAAGCTGGAGAGACTACATAACCCTATTCCATAATTTAGGGGAAAATTGTTGTGCAGCCCTTGTACTTTTTGTGGTCATTTAGTTGCTGCTTTTGTGTATCCAAGGTCTGAGTTGGATAAGGTGAATAAGGAGATGAGTGCTGTGCAGGAATGTTACCTAGAAGTATGCAGAGAGAAGGATAATCTAGAATCGATTCTCAGGAAGACCGCTGAAAAAGAGCAACAGGCTCAGGAGAAGGTACAGTACAAGTTCAGTGTTGACTGCTCAGGAGACCCTGTATCATCCTGTGAGCCTGCACAGAGCATTCCTTCATAGCCCCTTTCCTCAGATCAGTTTCTCTCTCACTATCTCATTGTAATTTTATTCTTCTGGGGTGAAGAGTAGGAATTTGAATGTTGGTCACATAATAGGGAAAGTGATGATATGGAGGATATGGACAGCAAGGTCAGTGTCTTCGTATGATGTCCTTCAGGGAAGCTGGAGGGGCTAGAGTAGATCCTCCAACTCTGCCTGATTCTTCTGAGTCACGCTTGGTGAGTGTCCAGGAGTCAGATCACATGTAAACAGTCACACCTCCTCTTTTCTCCCCTGTCCTGGCCTGGAGCCTCACCCAGACACAGGCCTAACTGTCCTTCACACTTTGGACCAGTGGCAAACCACAGTTTGAAAGCTATCTGCCTCAAGATTAGAAAATATTTTTAAATGCTTGAATAAATGTTCTATACAGAGATTTTTGAATAAGTTATGTTAAAGCAAGCTATTACTATCACATAAAAAGAATAGTAAACGGCAGGTGAGGAATTCAGTTTATTTAATATCTTGATTATTGTTGAATAGATTAATATGGTGAAAAACTTGCCATGTATACTTATCATCTAGTGGAAAAAGAACTTCTAAAGGGAACTGTTTTAGGTAGGTATGGCAGTATAAAAGTGAGAAAGGATCTTACCTTGAAATTGAGGACTTAGCTTTCAGTAATGTTTTAAAAATTAAAATAGGGAAATCTTTAGTATGATTCTTTAAATATATATTTAGGCAAGAACATAAGAGCAGTTTTCTCAAAGGGGTCATTCTTTTCAGGAATATTTTCTGATACTTTTAATAGAATCAATTTGACTATAAAATTTGACCAGCCTGGCCAACAGGGTGAAACCCCATCTCTATTAAAAATACAAAAATTATCCAGGCGTGGTTGCATACACCTATAATCCCAGCTACCCAGGAGGCTGAGGCAGGAGAATCACTGGAACCCAGGGGGAAGAGGCTGCAGTGAGCTGAGATTGTGCCACTGCACTCCACCCTGGACTACAGAGCAAGAATCTATCTCAAAAAAGAAAAATTTTTGATCTCATATAATTGGTCATTTGCAATTAATAGCTGCCACTGACTGATATTTTGGCTTGTGTTTGTACACAAGTGCAAGAAAAGTTGAACTGCTATTTGGCCCTTCAAAAAAATAAACTAGAGGTTAAATTATTTTTCTTTAAAAATTTAAAATTGTTATGCAGTAAAATTGACTTCCTCCTGCCCCTGGTTATATAGTTCTATAAACTTTTAACACATTTATAGGTTTATCAGGATACACAACAGTTTTATCACCCTAAAACTCTCCCTTTTGCTATCCCTTTTGTGGTTACTCTCCTCCCCCTACCTCACCCCACCCTAAAAATGCCAGTGTACTTGAAATATTAGAAGTTTAATTTCTTCCCTCTCTGGGAATTCATTGGTTTTTTTTACTGTAGAATTATATAAGCCCTTAGTAGTATAAGCCATTCAGAACTGAAACATCTTTATATTTAGGAGACTATCTAATCTTCTCACATTCTTTAGAGGTAGGCAAAAATATACTCCCCCCTCCTATTTTTTAAAGGAAATGTTTCACATACACAATGGAAGAATCTTATTAAACTCTAGAACAAGTGAGGGCGATTTTGGGGTAGCTCTTCTTGACAGAACATAAGCCATTTTACTACAGCTTAGCTTTAGGTAGGGAACTTAATCTGGATATAGAATTTATGAGTCAGGTAACATCAAGAGTTAAAGGGTGTATTTTTATGTTTCACCTACTGTTTTCTGAAACACTTGCTGAGTCAGGTTGTAGGTTAAGTAGGAACTCAATTCCAAGTTTTAAAGCTTTTATTAGCACACAGAGCTTTCCTCACATGTTAACCTGGCTCATTCAGAGAAAGGGTGAAAAAAGTCTTATACATGGAACCGTTCAGGTTGGATAGTAATCAGTGAAGGTCATGAATTTGCACACAAGGCAAAGATGATCAACATTTTCATTCATAATGCCATTCCTTTACATATTAAGGCTTATTTATACAATTGTAATATGAGTTAGATAGGTGATTTTTAGAAGTTAGAGGGATTTTTTGGCTATCCTAGCCGTGCACAACAAGTTCATATATTTTAACTTGGAGACTGTTAGTGTGTAGAGAGATACTTATTTGAATTTTGTTTAAAGAGACAGCTATTGGAGGAAAGAGAAGAATATGTAAGCAAACTGCAGGTGGAACTTGAAGAAAAGTACCAAGATACACTTATGATGGAAAAGAGCAAGTGGCTGAAAGATCAAGAAGCTGATATTAAACAGCAAGTTGAAAATGAAGTGATCTCAGCCAAAGCACATTGGGATAAGGAACAGAAAGAGGTGTGGATTAAAATTTCTTTCTGTTTGCCACATTTTAAAAATGTAATAAACAGTAAACAATTCTTCCTGAACAGATAAGTAATTTTTATTCGCTGGGCACTTACTAATCACCCACTTTACCCTTCGGAATTGAGCTATTAGCAGTTACTATACCAGTTTTTTGTTTGTTTGTTTGTTTGTTTGTTTTAAGAATTTAGCCACCTCTTGACTTTTCACCCCAACTCAGGATATAACAAGTTTTATAGGCACTGCTTTGATTCCCCAAAATGAAACCATGATCTGATTTCATATTGTGAAATGGTCATAACTCTAGACTAATATCTATAACAAATAAATAATCCATATCGTGGATTAAAAGAAGTAACGAGCAGTCTCAGAAACACATAATTTATTACCCCATGCCCAGCTAATGTTTATATTTTTAGTAGAGATGGGCTTTTGCCATGTTGGCAGGCTGGTATCGAATGCCTAACCTCAGGTGATTTGCCCACCTCACCCTCCTGAAGTGCTGGGATTACAGGTATGAGCCACTGCACCTGGCCTCAACCAGATTCTTCTATCTACAAAATTGTTATTAATTGCTATTGATCTCGTAGCCAGGAAAACATTTGGAGAGCCTCAGATATCCAGGTGGTAAACAGAAAAAGGGAAAAGCAGATTATGCTGTTTTATAGTTTTGCCTAAGACTGTGCCCAACTGCACTGAGAAAAATCATTAAGGTGTCCTTCCAGTAATACTGCCTCCCTTTTACATGTAGTCTGCTTAGTAAAACTTAACATTATAATGAATAAGATTCTAAGATTTTCAAGTGAGTAAAACTGTGTTTTAGGTTTTTCAGTTTTCGGTTCGTTAATTAGATTTACTCAGTCCTTTGTGGTTAGCATGGTGTTGATGGCAAAACACATTAACTGTAAATTTTTTTTTAATCCTGCTGTCTTTGTAGTGGTAAAATGAAAGATTCCAGAAGGTTGCATACTGCGAGCAAGATAGTCTGACTTTATACAACATACTTAAATCTTTCATGTGATTTTTGTCATGTAGTTAAGTTCAAAGAGTAACTTTCAAGTTTTACTTGAGAGTGTATTTTCATTGACTAAATTTCTAAACCTTTTATAATTACTACAACAATATCTAGATGGTTTTCAAACAGCTGTGGTTGCTTTTCTGGCTAGCTTTTAATTCTAGTTTTTACTTATTTGAATATTTTTCTCTGATGATTTTTCTTCTGAAAACAGATCAAAGAAAAACTCACTCAACAGCTTGAAAAGGAGTGGCAGTCTAAGCTGGATCAAACTATAAAGGCAGTGAAAAAGAAGACCTCAGACTGTGGCAGCCAAACTGACCAAGTAACCACCAGTGATGTTATTTCCAAGAAAGAGATGGCAATCATGATAGAGGAGCAGAAGCACACAATCCAGCAAAACTTAGAACAAGAGAAGGACATAGCCATCAAGGAGGCTGTGAAGAAACTTGAAATGGAATTGGAACTAAAATATTGTGAAAATATTACCAAACAGGTAATAGGAAGGTTTATTCTAGTGACTTTATTGGAATTGCCTGTCTCTTAATGAAAACCCATGAAATGCTACCATTGAACTCATTTGTAACTTTATACTTTCAAGATTTTGTGAATTTCTAGGATAGAAAATCTGTCATATTTCTAACTTTTTCTTCGTACTATTTCTGTCATAAAACTGTCACCCCTCGGTTTTCCTGTATATTTTTTCTGTTTACAAAATATTTGCTGCTTTGAGATTAGTCTAAGCATTAAGATGCCGGAGGTTGAAGAGGGTGCTTTTACGTCTGAATGAATCACAGCTTAATTATGAATCTTTATATCTAACTTTATAGATAATATTCCACTAAGGTGGTTATAGATAAGTAAACCTAAGCACATAATGTATGTAACATTTGTGTTGAGACTTGATGCAGTTGGAGCTGCAGGCATGCCCTTAGATGGAACTTTGTCCATCATTCCCATCAGCTGCCCAAAAGCAGTGCCAATACCTTTCCTCTGAAGCACTCACAAAACTAGCTTTTAACTGACACAAGTTACTTGATGTGAAAGAAAGGTCATACTGAGAAAAGTACAGCCTATTGTAACAGAATAAAGATGAATTTTCTGTTATATCTGTCTTATCTATTACAGTGATTCTCAAAATTTTTGGTCCCAGGACTCCTTTACAATTTAAGAAACTGGGGACTCTAAAGTACTTCTGTTTGTATGCATTATATTTACAGTATTGGAAAATTAATCTGAGAAATGTTTAAAAAACAAGAGTACCTAAGCACACATTCCGCTGACTGTGAGAACAGTGACATGATCACAGCATGTAGCTTTTGGAGAACTATGCTGTTTAATGCATGAGAGAACAGCAATAACAAAACAGATAGTGTCTTATTTTGGAAAAAGTTTTGGCCTCAGAGACCTACCTGACAGGCTTTCTAGCCTCAAGAGTTCCCTGGTGTTTGATACATCTATAATGTATTTTTATTTAAATTTTATTACTTACTATAAACCCTTAAACAAGATAGCTCTCAATGTAAAGATTTTGAAAATACATTCTGCTTTTGATAAATACTTGAAATTCCGTTGATTTGTAACATTGTTCTGCATGATTTTACAGGGCACCCTTGAAGTCTAGAAATATAGGCAAATATATGTAATGGTAGCAAGGGTATCTTCAGTGAGTTTACCGAAATGTTTACTGAAGGGTTTCAACGGAGTTAAGAAAATGTTCCACAAACAAAAAGTGCTGCTTTGGTATTTACAGAAATTTTAATCTTAAATAGCATAAAACAGCAGATAGGAAATGTTTCAATAATAACTTTTTAAATAGACAAATTTCTTTTTTTTTTTTTTTTTTAGACGGAGTTTCGCTCTTGTTACCCAGGCTGGAGTGCAATGGTGTGATCTCGGCTCACCGCAACCTCCGCCTCCTGGGTTCAGGCAATTCTCCTGCCTCAGCCTCCTGAGTAGCTGGGATTACAGGCATGTGCCACCATGTCCAGCTAATTTTTTGTATTTTTAGTAGAGACGGGGTTTCACCATGTTGACCAGGATGGTCTCGATCTCTTGACCTCGTGATCCACCTGCCTCAGCCTCCCAAAGTGCTGGGATTACGGGCTTGAGCCACCGTACCTGGCCAAGTAGACAAATTTCTATAGGAGCTTTATCTTTTCCCCATTTCTTAACTCCTTAGAGTTTGTACGTAGAGTTTACACGTTGACATATTTAGCACTTTAATAAGAAATACAGCCTCTTATATCAACCCTGTGCTTTTGTGTATATGTACATATATACACACAGACACATATATTTGCATATCTATATGTATTTGAAAATAAAGAAATAAGGAAAAATTATTTAACAAATAATCTTCTGGTAGCTGGTGGCAGATTTACAACCAGATCATCCTCATAATTAATCGGGCCTTAATTTTTTGCCTTTAGAGCTATCACCCTTATTCTTTAGGACAAACTCATTCTCCACAGTAGGAAGTTTGCAGGTGTAGGGCTCTAAACTGTATCAGTGCACACATACATGCACACGTGTAGAGCATGAGTAAGGAGGGTGGGGGTGGTGAGTGTAGTCATTAGACAGCAGCTGGCAACAAGCAGCCCTCCAGCAGGGCTTCTCCTTTTTCCCAGGATAAATAGGAGTTGTTGGAAATGGTAATTGGTAGAACACTTTCTAAGATAGCTCAAGTCATCAAACAGTCACAGATTCTCACTTCCTGTGTGGCATTTGTATGGGATGCTATGAGAAGTTTACAACAAAAGGATTAGAATCCACTGTTTGGGATAGGTAAGATAGTTGAAGTCAGTTTAACTTTATTATGTAGTGATATACAGTGTAAAATACACATGAAATAATAATTGCTGTTGGAAAATGGGGTCTTTTTGAAATTTTATACTCCACTTTACCTCTTTCTCTTGCAATGTCCTACAGGTAGAAATAGCTGTGCAAAATGCTCGTCAACGATGGCTGGGAGAACTACCTGAGCTTGCAGAGTATCAAGCACTTGTGAGGGCAGAACACAAGAAGTGGGAAGAACAGCATGAGATCTCTGTGAACAAACGGGTAAGAGCTCTTATGCAAAGAAACTTCAGGAGACCATCTTGCCTGATCCTGTCTCTTAGCTCAGTCCTGGGAATTTGTACTTAACTCATAGAACTGTTGAAGGATTAAACATGATGGTACATGTTAAGCCTATAGCTTAAAGCCTAGCAAGTGTTCTTGTCATCATCAAGTTGTTCTGAGAGAGATGAGGTATCTTCCTAACTGTGAGGATAACTTAGAAACTGTTTAATAACTCCCATTCTCTTGCCCTATCTTTAGGTGAAACTGAGAACAGGTATATATTTGTTTATTATTAGCTATACTGTAACCTTTCACATGCTTAAAGACTGTTTTCTCTGCTGTGTCTTATAACATTCTTGTTAGTAAATAGCCAATTCTTCTTTCCAGAAATGTCATGTTCCTTGACTGGAAAATACAGATATTTTAACCATGTGTGCTCTTCCACTTAATTTACTGGTCTAAACCAATTCTAATCAAAATGCCAACAAACTGAACGTAATTTTGAAGCTGACAAAATAATTCTGTAAAATTTATTTGGAAAAACAAAAGGACTAGAAATTTTTCTAATGTTCTGGAATAATTATAGTTAAGCCCTAACATATAATGAAATATATTGGAAAGCAACAACTCAGATAGTATTGAGTCACAAAAATAGAATTCTTTTTAATTCAGTGCAAAGCAGATTTCAAACGTGGGCCCTACTATAAATAAAAGCTTAATAATTTGTTTTAAAACAAGGGAATGAGGAATTATAATAAGTAGTCTTATGACAGCCAGGTAACATTTTGGAAAAATTAAGTTTACCCAAGGTGTATCACAGTAAATTCTAGGTTAATGAAGGAGTTAAATATTTTAAATAAAATATAGAAAAATTAAAAGGAAATTGAAGATTTCAGATTTGTACGTAATAACTCAATTTCACAACACTATATCCAATAGCAAAGATAAAGTAATAGGTTGAAATATGTTTTGCTGGCTGGGAGTGGTGGCTCATGCCTGTAATCCTAGCACTTTGGGAGGCTGTGGCAGGTGAATCACAAGGTCAGGAGTTCGAGATGAGACTGACCAACATGGTGAAACTGTCTCTACTAAAAATACAAAAATTAGCCGGGCATGGTGGTGCATGCCTGTAATCCCAGCTATTCAGATAGCTGAGGTAGGAGAATCACTTGAACCTGGGAGGTGGAGGTGGAGGTTGCAGTGGACCGAGATCATGCCACTGCACTTCAGCTTGGATGAGAGAGCAAGACTCTGTCTCTTAAAAACAAACAAACAAAACATATATATATATGTTTTGTTTTTGTAGTAAAGTAAAATTAAGGGTATAATAAAAATAAGAAAAATGGATAAAATATGAGAAATGTTAATACAAATATATGGTAAAGAGCTCACACAAATTTACAAGAAAAACATGAGTCCGTGGATAAACACACCAAAGCTATGAGTGGATAATCTTCATGAGAAGTCCAAATATCAAAAGTCAGAGGAAAAACATTCATGCCTACCAGTATTAGGGAAATGCGAACTAAAACCACCTGAAGACCCTGTTTTATGCTAGGTGTATAAATCCTCTCTTCTGAGCTGTAACCCATATCATAGAATATGTAGCAGCATTAAGCATTTGCTTCCCTCCTGGTGTTACAACCATGTTGGAAAACAATGTATGTAACAAATTGTGAAAAATTCATATCTAGTATTTGGCATATTATTCTACAAATTAAGGAATAAATCTATTTTAATATATTTCTTAAGTTATATGGTAGTACATGAGTGTTCATTACATTATTCTCTATACTTTTTAGCATGTCTGTAATATTTTAAAAGGAAATTTAAGAGGGAGAGAGAAAACAATATGATTGTGAGGATATATGTCTCAGAGCTCAGAAGTCAAATAGAATAATAAAGTTAGGTAAAATAAAGAAAACAGGCCAAGAGATATTTTCGTAAGAACATAGAAGGCCTGGATGTTTGTGAATGCAGAAATATAGAAATGAGAGAACAGTGTTTTTGTTGCTTCTCAAACTTCAGCAGGCCTGAGAATCCCTTGCAGGGTTTGCTAAAGCATAGCTACCTGGGCTTTCCTCCTAGAGATAATGATACAGTAGGTCTGGAGAGAGTGTCCCTAGAATTTGCTTTTTTTTTTTTTTTTTGAGTTGGAGCCTGCTCTGTTGCTCAAGTTGGAGTGTATTGCTCACTGCAACCTCTGCCTCCCGGATTCAAGCGATTCTCCTGCCTCAGCCTCCCATACAGCTGGAATTATGGGTGCCTGCCACCTCACTCGGATAATTTTTGTATTTTTAGTAAAGATGGGGTTTCACCATGTTGGCCAGGCTGGTCTCGAACTCCTGACCTCAGGTGATACATTCATCTTGGCCTCCCAAAGTGCTGAGATTACAAGTGATTCACCGCACCTGGCCAGAATTTGCATTTCTAAGAGGCTCCCAGATAATGTGATACTCCTGGTCTTTGGACTACACTTGGATCTAAGTAGCACTATTCTAGATAATTACATTAGCCACATAATGTTAACATGTTGTGCATCCTTCCTCCAAACCAAAAGAGGTCCTGAAAGGGCCAGTTCTATAGCATTGGCTATAGAGTTGTTATTTTAAGATTAGAGTGATTAGTTGAGATCTGTGACAATGTAAAGCTAATTTCCAGAATTCAGAAGTAGTTAAGCTGGTTTAGTGGTTCCCAAACTTTGCTGCACGTTGGAATAACTTGAGGATCTTTGTTTTCTGGCCCCTACCCTTAAACTTAACTTCGTTTTGTATGGGCTTCAGCCGGGGCATCAGGATGTTTAAAAGCTTCTCAGGTGATTCTAATGTACAGCAAAGTTTGGGAACCACTTGAGTTGATGAATGCTGTCAAATTCCCTTTGTAAAACCTCGCATGAGATAATGCACACTTTGGAAAGGTTGGGCACGTCATCCAAATTCTGTGGGATCCACCATTTCTACCTGAGTCACTCGGGAATGACTTCCAGTCATCCATTGCAACATAACCTGTTTTCTCTAAAAACATATGTAAACATGTTTCAAATCACTACTGAATTATTCTGCTGATAGGAAAGGAATTTTGCAGTAAATTCTTTGTAAAGCTCACCTTAGATACTGGGTTCGTTTAGCAGAAAACTTATTAACTGGATACTCTATCTCGTCATCCCAGCCATATATATAGTATTGATTCATGGTAACCACCACTGTCTAGGCCAAGCCTTTGGAGATGCCCAGTTCTGTCTTTGACACTATTGTGTGCTTGTGCCTTCTTTGAATTCAGTTAGGGAATATTAAAAGTCACTGTCTACTCTACTACTTCATATAGGTGAAGATGTTAGTGCCAATATGATTAAGTGACTTTTTCAAGGTCATGCATCCAAAAGTAATAACTCTGTAACATTTATTGAGTCCTTGCTGTCTGCCAGGCTCTGGGCTAAGTACTTTAAATGGATTATGTTCTTATGTCATTTAACCCTAAAGGACACTATCAAATTGGCACTGTCATTATTCTCAGTTTATAGATGAGGAAATTGAGGCTCAAAGAAGTTGAGGGATGGGCCTTCAAGTTTCACAAGCCTTTAAGTTATTCCAGCAGTTTGTCCCCAGAGTCTGTTCTGTTAAGCACCTGTGCTGGGCTGCCTCTGCAAATCGGTGTCAGGATTGGAGCTAGGGCCCAGGTTTTTTGATTTCCCTATTACTTTTTGGTTTGTTTTCTGTGATCCACTAATTCTATTATTCTGTCATGCAAACATATTAGACTAATGAAAAATGGCTTCTTTTTGGTATTGTCCTTTAATGAACTATTCTAGCCACTGAAAGTACATTAAAATACAGTTATATTTATGAGCAAGTAATTAATTATGCAGGGATGTGCTGTATTCCTAAGTAATAGTAAAAATTACTTATGAGTTTGCTTTTACTTTAGGTAAAATATACTTAATTTGTTGGGGCACAGATAAAATTTGAGACTATCTGTATTAAAACTAGTATGAAATTTTTTCTCACATTAGTTTTGACTAATTATATAATTATATATGAGTGTGTATACATACACATAAACACATATTTAAGTATAGTGTAAGTATAGGTTTTAGAATAATATCTAAAATCACTTTTCCTTTTAATTTTGATTTTAAATATCTTAGCTTCAGAAGTTAACCCAAATAGTTAATTTTTTTTGTGGATGAGGCGAATCATAAAGACTTTTAAAATTTATGTTTGTTATGTTCTTTAGATATTATTTGCTGTTTCTGAAGCTAAAGAGAAATGGAAAAGTGAGCTTGAAAATAGGAAGAAAAATATACTTCCTGGAAAGGAATTGGAAGAGAAGTTTCATTCTCTTCAGAGGGAACTCAAGTTAAAGAACGAAGAAGTCCCTGTGGTCATCAGGGCAGAGTTAGCTAAGGCTCGAAGTGAATGGAACAAAGAAAAGCAAGAAGAAATCCACAGAATCCAAGAACGAAATGAGCAAGATTACCGGCAATTTTTAGATGATCACCGAAATAAAATTAATGAGGTGCTTGCGGCAGCTAAAGAAGACTTTATGAAACAAAAAACTGAACTACTTCTTCAGAAGGAGACAGAGTTACAAACATGTCTAGACCAGAGTCGTAGAGAATGGACTATGCAGGAAGCCAAGCGGATCCAACTGGAAATCCGTCAGTATGAGGAAGACATTCTAACTGTACTCGAGTTTCTTTTAAGGACTCAAAAGGAGCACGTCAATGATTCTGAGAACACACAGCTTTTGGAAATCCTGTCGACTTGTTCTTCAAAATGGATGTCTGTGCAGTATTTTGAAAAACTAAAGGCCTGCATACAGAAAGCATTTCAAGATACACTTTTGCAGCTTACAGAAAACATCGACCCAGAATGGGAAAAGGTATGTTCCTGAGAGTGAGAGGAGATATTGAACACAAAGAATGATTATGGAAGTTGTATCTAGCATTTTTCCTTTCTTCTTTTTAAAGTTTAGTAGATATAAGTTTTGTTTTTGTCAGTGGTTTAAAAAATTTTTTGTAGCGAATTCAAAGGTTTGCATATTTAGTTGCCAAACTTCACTACTTCGTAGTGTCACAAATACAAGCTTTTCACATCTAAATGTCTTTAAAAAAAATATATATATATATATATATATATATATATATATGCTATTCTTTTTAAGGGTCTGAGATTTCAGAAACTGAGTAATTTTTATTCCAAATTTTGTTTTCTGGGCCTGAGAACTTCAATAAATATGCATAATGCTAGAGTTTCTTAAAAAGCTTCTAAAGAGTTTGGAAGCCTATTTGTTGCCCTCAAGAAATTTATGTCTCATTTAGGCAAAAAATGCCAACCAAATACAGAATGTTTATACAGAAACAATAAATATGGCTCACTTGCATAAAATTCTGAAGCCCAGTTTCAGGGTGTACTATATATATGTGCATATGAAATTAATTATATTCTTTTCGTTATGTAAGTACTCTCTGAGATTAGCTTTTAATTTGTGTCAAAGATGCAGTAAAACCAAAGCCTTGCTACCTTATGACCAAAGAAACTAGGTATGCATAAAGATCCAGAATGATATTCTAAGCATGGCAATTAGCCATTTTCAACATTTGGAATTAGAGACAGGAAAAAAATGCCAGTATTATAAGGTTGGGCTAATAGAAGAGTTGAGACTAATTAAGATCCATCAAGATAGTGTGATTAAAGAGTTTCAAGGCCAAGACTGAGCATTTGGTATTAATACCTACTTGGGAAAGTTATAAAGTAGGAAAAATAATCTGAGTTTCAATTCCATATTTGATGATTGCTAGATTATTACATTGGGCAATCACACAGTTGCTCACCTGAGAAAGAAAATACAAATCCCTGGCCTAACTCCTTGGGTTTGAATAGGATATGCATGACACAGCTTAGCCTTGCTGCATCCTGCATTCAAAACAGTATAGAATTTTAGAGCTAGAGGGACCTGAAAGATCAGTTCTCCATCCTACTTCACCCCAGTTGATATTTTTATCCTTGACCTCACAAAGACGTTGCTACTGAGTAGTTGCCTTTAATGTAAAAATTACTGGGCAAGATCACTTCCCACTTTATTGAGATTTTTTTAGAGAAATTAAAGAATTTGGAAAAAATAGATAATTAAAATAAAATTATCTATAGCAGATTTGAGATGAGAAGTAATGGGAAAATTATGTTGACATGCTTTCAAGTTTGCTTTCCCAAAGAGGCAGTTTCTATTATAGAAATCAAGAAACTATGACACCTTTCTCCTACCATTCATATATACATAATGAAATCAACCCTGGAGTCTTTTTACAGAGCTTATAATTGGGTAACCGGTATAAGATCATCTGTGTGACTTAATGTGGCTTTCAAGTCTATGGAGACAGACTCACATAATCTGGCTAAGAATTTAGACATTTATAGCTTTTGTTGGGTGGGTCAGATTCCATTCCTGAGAAAAGGATGCTTTGAGATGCCTAATCTGGAATTTGTCATAGAAGTAATACTTGACCTTCTGCCATTTTCGAGCTAATTTCACTCAGCACCTTGAGGTAAAGCGATGATTATAAAGCTGTGATTTTAAATTTGTTATGTGGGTGCTGTAAATGTGAGGGACTATAATTTATAATTTATTAAATCTCTAGTTTAAGAAATTGTTCATGGAAATTAAAACAGAAAACAGTTTCTTAATATATAAAAACAAGTCCTCATTAAAATAAGACAATCAAAAGTTGTTTTTAATGGAGAGGTTGCAATGAATGAAAAATATAGCTGTCAAGAAAATGAGTGCCTTATCAAAATATATTTATAGTAGCTCAAAACAGATAAAACAAATATGAAATGAAACAAAATTTTCAAGTAAACTTAAGGATGTGTGTTGTCTCTTTTACCATCGAAGTCGAGGTAAAACTAAGACAGAAAGGTTGCTGTTATCCTACCTTTTCTGTCCTCTTGTCTTTTCTTCTCTAGTTTTGCGTAGAAACTGGAAACATTGACTGCATTTTAGTTCATCTTGTCTTACTCCTTTGGCCTCAAATCCATAGCTTCTTGATTGCCTCTTCTCTATCAATCATTGCTGAACTCTGCTTCTGTTAGACATTGGGAGTAGGTTTCCTGACAGTCAGTTAAATGGTTTCTCATAATCAAAATCAAGGCTTCTAGAATCAAGCATATGTTTTAAATAATCAAACAAGACTGCTTTCTCAACATCACCTATTCTCTTCTTTCTGATTTGGCAGTCATCTAAAATCTGAAAACATTGCCCTAAAAATCCATTGGTTTAGTAGTTGTATTGTCTGTGACAAGGACTAGAACACAAAAGCATTCCATAAATATTAGTGAAGAAATAGTCTTCTGCAAGATATTTAGTTTAGCTAAGCCTCAATTTCTGTCTTCACTTTGGCATTCGGCAGGCCTTCCTTACAAATTTACTGCCTATGTTGAAGTTTTTAGAAGCATATGAAGTAGTATATAAATTTAAAATAATTTTTTTACTGTTATTTCAATTCATGGGAGGCAGAGGGTTGGTATTATACTTGCTAATTAATTTGTAGTAGTAAAACTACTAATTTGTAGTAGTAAAATTTGCTGTAGTAAAAACATTCTAGATTTTCAAGAACAATTCTGATTTTATATTGTCTTTCATATGGTTTAATCATGTAAGCCATTAAAAAATCTCAAATGCATATATATAAATGTGCAAACCATATCTTCTGTCTGTCTCATAGCCAGCTCACCAGTCGCCTGTCAGAAAATGTTCTAATATGGAAAATATTTCCATAGGAGGCTAGTTTCTAGTACAATGACAGTACTCATGTAACACCTTAAGAAAAATATTGGTGATTTGTATTATATTAACAATTAACAAAATTCTCTTTGTATTGTTAATATTAGCATTTTAAATATAAAATTTCATAAGGATTTTTACTAAGCATTAACTTTGAAGATAATTTGTTTCAGAGAAATATGTCTGAGCTCGCCAAGGATTCTGCTCGCCGGGGCACTGGCCAAGGAGACCCTGGACCTACTGCTGGACACCATGCTCAGCCCTTGGCCTTACAACAAACAGAAGCAGAAGTTGGTAATTGGATTTTGTTCCCACCAGTCTTTGTAGCAGCTGTAATCACCCTTCTGAAGGGTCGCTTTGAGGATAAAAGATCATAATAGATGTGAACAAATGTGTAATACTATTCTGACATAATGTCTCCTCTTCCTTGATTTCATTTTGTATTTAGAGAACAGGGTTGATTTAGGCCCTCTTCTTCTATTTATGGTTTTCCCTCCATTCACAAGTGATTCTTATTACAAGGAGAATTGTGAGAGTTTTGATAGAACAGTCATGATTTTATTCCCTGACTACTGAGAAATCAAGAATTTCACATAAGAGAATTGCCAAGTAAGAGAGACTTTTTCATTCAAGTTACTGAAACTTATTTCAATCACTTTTTAATGGAAATCTTGCTGAAATGTATGAGATGGTTTCAAATTGATTTGTGAGTTTTTCTGAGGGCATGGGCAGGGTTTTTAATCTCTTTCTTTCCAACACGTGGCAGAGCGATTAATTAATAGTTTAACTTTTCCTTAATGACTTAGACTCTTTGTCACGACAAATGAATTATTGTACTGCACTAGAGCCCCTTGTACTCAGAGCTTACTTAGGAGTCTAGGACTTATATTGCCTATTCATTGAGATTTCTGAGCTAGAAATTTGCAAATCCTTTATTGGATCCCCTCCCTTTTAGCCTATTGACCCCCTTACAGCCTGCTTCTTTCCTCCCCACACAACTACACAGCACCCTCTCTCTGCTGCTTTTTATTGTTTCTATTGTAACCTGGAAAATAACTAATAATTGCCAGGGCCAATCATGCCTACTAAGCAAATAACCTCAGTTTCCACACGTCTAATTCAGTAGGCAATGTTACCAGAATCTTAGAGAATCTCTGCCTGTATCATCTCTGCCTTTCTCATTGTTCACAAACCCCCTTTTTTAGGTGGCTGAGATTATGTTATTGCCATTTCAGTGGATAGTAATATTACCTTAATTTGTATTTTGCATTATACTTTTTATTTTACATCATATTTGGAATAGCTTGAGAATTCCTTTTTAATCTGTTAAATGGGTAGAAATAAGTTTTGGATATTACTTAGCTTTAGGAAGTCCTATAAATATAGAAGAAATTAGTTTTGGCCAAAGGCAAATCAGACTATAAACATACTTTTCATTATTTAGTCATTTTTTCCTTAGAAACAAACACATTAAAAAATTCATTAGAAAGAAATAATACAAAACATATATTAAGTGATAAAGTCCTCCAGAGCGTACCACTGTTGACTGTTTGGTTATATTCTTCTGATATCTTATTATTTAGAGTACTTTAAATATTGATTATGAAGTACTTAGTTCATTCAAAGATTATATGTATGCATCTGTATGTTATGAAGCCTAACAACCAGGAACCTATTATTCAGCGTCAGGCATGGAGAACATCACCAGTGCTGTTGACCACAGTTCAATCCCCACAACTTCTCCCCAGTCTGAGCTAACAAATATTCTGCGTTAAAAATTATTCTCTTACTTTTAAAAAATGTTTTCATTATGTGTATGTACCCTCAAAAAGTTGTTGCCTTTTTATGTTTGTAACATTATAAAAATGGTTTAATACTCATTATATTCTTTGTAACTTGCTTTTTTCCATTTTAACAGCATGCTAGTAGGATTTGTGTATGTTGATGCAATAGCTCTAGTTCATTCATTTTCATAGCTATGTAGTATTTCATTGTATGAATATGCTATAGCTGATTTAACTTCTCTTGTCAATGGCATTTGCATGGTTTCCAATTTTACAACAGTATCCCAGATGAAAAATATAAATACCGTGTATGGTACCAATGTGAGGCTGTATCAGTCCTTTCATGCTCATGAAACTAAGATGTCAGGAGAGAGCTACGAATCATTTTGCTGGATCAATGACTTTACAGTAACATTTTGTATATTGGCCTCAGCCTGTGCCAACTTGTATTACTGCTTTATTATATCATTTATGTTAATAATCTACTTTTTAAATCAGTTTTGTCTCTTTTAATTTTATAAATTATATATATTACTAAGGACAACAGCTATTATTTATCGTGTACTTGCTCTATGGCAGGTACTGTGCCAAACAGTTCTTATACATTTATGTCTCTTAAAAGTTTTACATCATTTTAAAATTTGGAAATAATTTCAATCTTATGGAAAAATAACAAATAAAAATCGTTGCAAAGAACATTCATATACCCTTTAATGAGATACACCTATTGTTAACATTTTAACTCCATATGTATATATGTGTACATGAATATTTCATTTTTTTACGAACCATTTGAGGATAAGCTATATATATATTGTGACCTTTTATGACTAAGTACTCCAGACTGTACTTTCCAGGAATAGGAATATTTTCTTGTGTAACCTTAGTAAATTTAACATTAAAGGTATGTATGAATCCACTGTGTTCTAATCTTGTCAATTGACTAATGTCTTAAAACATTTTTTCTTCTCCTTCAGGACAGAGATTTGTTTAGGGTCAGGTGCTACATTTAGTCATGTGTCTTTGGTCACCTTTAATCTAGAACATTTCCACTGCCTCTCTTTGTCTTTTATGACATTGACATTTTTGAGAAATCTTCTCTGCTTCTCCTCTCCCCTTTTTTTAACAGAACTTTTCCCATTTTGGGTTTGTCTGGTGTGTCTTCATGATTAGAATCAGCTTGTGCTTTCTTGGCTGGAGCACTGCCTGGGTAATAAGTTGTCACATGTGAAAGCCCGTGGTGTCCATTTGTCTTTTATTGGTGAGGTGAATTTTCATACCTGGTGAAAATGTTGTCTAAATTTCTTCACTATCTAATTACTGGGGTTTTTTTCCCCACCCTTGCAACTGATAAGCAATCTGTGGGGAGACACTTTTAAACTGTGCAGATATCTTCTTCTCATAAAAACCTTCTCTCAGATTTGACAGCCATTGATGATTCTTGCTTGATCCAGTCTTTATTATGGTAGTTGCAAAATTGTAATTCTTCCAACTTCCTCCCTCTACTTACCCCAGTTGGCACTCAGCATGCTGTTTTAATCAAAAATCCTCCCATCTCATTTGCCTGTGTATTTATCTGTCCATCCATCCATCTACCTACCTACTTACCAACTCACCTGTCAGCTTACCATTCATAAAATTATTGATGTGACTCAAATTCCTATTTTTAATACTTTATAATTCATTACTATATTTAGTGCTCAGATTGTCCCAGCTTCAGCTAATTGAGCTCCTTCAAACTGGCCCCTATGTCCTTGTGACGTGCCTGTATTTTTGAGTATTTTCTTACTTTCTCGCATAGCAAGATATTTCAGTCTTATTTTGTATATAACCTCTCCCAGTACTGGAGTCATTTCTTGAATATCCTTGACTCCTATCAGTAGGGAATGGTATTCAGTACCAAGATCCAGAGCAATAGGTTTCATGGCTGTTTTTAAAGTAGATGGTGGTATCCAGTAGTACCTCAGACAAGTAACATGCTCCAAGTCACACAGCCAGTAAATAGTAGAAACAGTATGTTAATGTCTATCTTAAGCATGATACTCTTTCAGTCATGCCGTAGCCTTTAGTCATGAGTCATCTGCTTTTCTTTTTTTCTTTATTGGTAGTTCTTAGTCTAAACTGATATAAAAGTTTTTGTCATTTAATTTTTGCAGATAAGAAAAAGATCCTTGAAATTAAGGATTTATGCTGTGGACACTGCTTCCAAGAACTTGCAAAGGCAAAGCAGGAATGTCAAGATCTGAAAGGAAAACTGGAGAAATGCTGTAGGCATCTTCAGCATTTAGAAAGGAAGCACAAAGCTGTAGTGGAAAAAATTGGAGGTTAGCATTTAAAGTAGCACTGCTACCAATATAAATCTCTTTGATCCTTGTTGAAATGTTCAAATGTGACATTTTAGTTAATGTGTGCACTGATCCTCTTTTGGGATTAATGTAAACTAATTTGGATCTTATTTTTGCTAATCAAATTATTAGAAAATTCAAAAGAGGAAGATTTCAGCTCTGATTAAAAAGGTCACATTCCTCTCTTCCTTTCTTGATTGAACAGATATTGAGGGCCCGGTATGTGTCAAGCAGGCTTCTAAGCACTGGGGATGCAGCAGTGAATAAATGGTACAGAATTCCAGTTCTGATAGAGATGTGTTCCCTTCCTTCAAGAAGTCTTGTTTGAGTGAGGACATCTAAAAAACAGATTAATGAATAATTAAACATTGAGTACTGTTGGCAGCGTGTACTTAGGAAAAGGGACTTAATTCTACCTCTTATTAAAGTTAAGAAAGGTTTGACTAAGCCTTGAAAAATAGAGGTGTTTGCCAAGGAGAACAGCATTTGAGATAGAGGGAAAAGGCATAAACGAGGGCGTGAGGGTCTGGACTGGCCTTTGTCTAGTCCTTTTATCACAATTCTGTGAGGGCATTTGGAAGGGTATCTTCTACCATTTCCCATTGCCCCTCTGAAGAAGGGAAGTTTGGGGGCTTAGATGGCTGCTCCCTCATCTTTCAGCATTGCTTATAGCCTATATGCTATACTCTTTACATTTGACATGTTTTCAATTCCTGACTGGTCATATTTCTTTTACTGCTGGACCTTCGTTGCATATGATGTTTGTATTCTGTCCTGTACTTTATCCCAACATTTACTTTTCAGTCTTAACTCTTGTCCTTTAGGATTCAACTCAGAAGATGCTTCATCTGCAAAGCTCTCCTTGATTTTCCCTAGTCTGGGTAAAGCGGGCTGCCCTTGTGTGGTCCTGCAGCACTTGACTCTTCATCTATTATCACCATTACCATTCTGTATTTTAATTGTTTGGTCACTTGTCCGACACCTTCTCCAAATTCTGAATTTTCTCAGGAGAAGGAATATGCCATATCTTGTTCATCGTAATACCCATGATGCCCACTACATGCCAGATAATAAATGTTTAAATGGACAAAAACCAAAATGCCAGGGTCCCAAATAATGATGTCATTCAGAAAAGACCATCTTAATAAGTTTATTTTCTACATCCACTTCTGTCTATTGCCTGGACACTGGCAATAATCTCCTGACTCACTCTGCTTCTAGTCTAGCCCCTCTAATCCATTCTCCATGGGGTAGCTGGAGCAATCTTTCTAAAAAGTGAATCGAAACATGACACTCTTGTTTAAAACTCTTCAGTGGCTTGCCACGGCCCTCAGTATGAGACACAAAAACACTCGATTTAATGGTGTTTAAAAAGATCTCGATCCAGTACCTGTCAGCCCCTCCAGCCTTGTCTTTTCTCAGCTCTCTTAATTTCTCTCAGTAGAGCCATAGCATGGATCTACTGTCTTCTCTCTTCACCAAAAACATCCTGATCTCATTTGCTAACTCCTACTCATCTTTTCCCCAATACATGACTTCCTCAGGGAGGCTTTCCTAACCTCTGCAGACTAGTTTAGTCCTCCTATTATACACTCCCCATAGTTCCTATGCTTTTTATAACATTCACCATCCTTGTAATTGTTTGCTGTCTGTACTTCCCTTTGGAGTGTAGACTTTATAGCAATAAGGATCAAGTTGTGTTCCAGAGTGCCTGGCATCATAGCATGACTCAAGAAATATTGTTGACTAAGAGAAGCCACCTACTACCATCGACTGCTTATTACTAAGGCACTTTTTACTGTTATTACTAAGAGATAGATAATAATTACTTTAAGGCTGAAAGGGGCTTTAAGAATTTTGAGATTAAAAAATTAACAACTGGAATTCCTTTTGCAATTACTTAGCTCTTTAGTAGAGGACAGGAGAGGACATGAGTTATTTGTCCAACTGTAGATATATTTACAACATAGATGTGGTAAAATATGATGAAAACCAAGATGATTTGTTTTACATAATATAATGACAGGGCAGTTGGATATGATTATTATTTACAAATAATATTTAGCACCATACATTGTGATCATATAATAGTTATTCTACACAGTGCTTTTTGAAGCTGATATCTTCTGAAACTTGTAAGTTAGCAAATAATCAAAGTTGATACTTAAAATCTGACTCTGACCCTTTGTATCAACTCATTGTTTTAAGTCCATAGTTTAATTGAATTACTTTCTTAATGTAAATCTGTTAGGTGATTATATCTATTAGATGATTACCTTAGGTGATTATAGATTGTTTCTTTGTTTCTTAAATTCCATTTTTTCCACTCTCTTGGTAGTGTTTTTGGGAAATAGATGGAGTGGCAGTGAGTTGTTTAACAAAGTCATATCCATAATCAGGGGGAACAGTAATTTTGTTCCCCAACGTACGGGTGTGTTGAGGGATGGCATCATAGGAAACATCAGATGCCATGTTCACCTTTATTGAATATTGGTATTTCTAGGCCTTGAATAGGTGTTGTACATTGTTGTTTTATTTCTGTTATAATCTGTAAGTTAACTAATACTATCCCCATTTTACATGTGAAAAAACTCAGGTTCAGAAAGGTTAATTTTTCCTAGGCTTATCTATCACGTAAGCAGCAAAGTTAGAATGTAAACTGATGTCTCTGACTCTGAAATTCCTGTCTTTTCCTTCATACTGCATGGCCTTTATCAGTCTCCTCATCCTGTTTTTAAAAGTTCAAAGAATTGAAAATCTTACATTATTTCTGAAAAAGGTACCCATTTAAGGTTAATTTCTTTTTTGTTTTATATTGAGGTGCATGTTCAGTGTTCATTTATATGAGCATAAACTGTCTACTAGGATCCACAGGGAACATGAAATTAGAAAACCTAGGTTTTTACAGAGCTTCAGCACAGTTGGCAAACAAAACACAGGCATTTGAAACAGCTGAAACCCAATTCCAAGACAGTGTGTAACCCAAAGCAAAAAGAAGATGGGATACAGATTTTAAGTGCTGAGAAAACAGAGCAAGGGAATGGTCTGACTAGGGTTTCTGAGGAAATGAACATTACAGGAGAGCAACTGGAAATAACGAAATTTCCTCTATAAACCTTTGTGTTGGAACTTAAGGAAAAAGAAGGCTCAAAATAAATTTAACTGTCTAATATACTATAAACTTCTTGTTATAGAAGAGAATAATAAAGTTGTTGAAGAATTAATAGAAGAAAACAATGACATGAAGAATAAATTGGAAGAACTGCGGACGCTTTGTAAAACACCACCAAGGTATACTTTTACTATTTTAAAAAGAAATCTAAGTACAAGTATCTTTAAATCTTTTTAGGTATCAATTATTTTTTGTTATACAGCAAAAAAGGATAAAAAGGAAGAAAATCCCCCAAAATCTTATTCCCAGAAAGTACCCTCTAGTAATATTTTGTCTCATGTAAGCCTCTTTCTACACACACTCCATGTGTACAGTGTGTTTTTTAACTGAGAATATAAGGTATTTTGTAACTTTTTATTAACTTAATGTTAGATAAGCATTTCCCTGTGTTATCAGATATTTTGCTACATATGTTTTTCAATGCCTGCATAAATTTTCATGTAGGTTTACCATTCTTTATTGAAGCACCATAACATTTATGTTGTTTCCATTTTTCTCCTAATTTAAGTAACTATATAGTGGAGATTCTTGTATATGAGACTTTTAGCACTTCTCAGTTAATTTTATTAGAGTATATGATACATAGATATTTTTCAAATGAAATCTTTCACTTACCATTTCTGTTTTTATCATCTTGTTTTTTTTTTTTAGGTCATTGTCAGCAGGGGCCATTGAAAATGGTTGCCTGCCATGCAGTGGGGGAGCCTTGGAAGAACTTCGTGGGCAGTACATTAAAGCTGTAAAAAAAATTAAACGTGAGTCCCTAAGAGATTCCTAAGATTTTAAGGATGGCTTGAGCCATTTTTTTTTATTGTCGCTGTTAAATGTAAACTCAGAGTTTACCAGCAGTAGTACTTTCAGAGAATTTTCCAAATTACTTTCTTCTTCAATCTTAGAAGAGATTATTGACACCTTTTCAAAATTACGTAGTCATTGATCATTTTGCCCAAATAATATCTTTTGGCAGTGACATGAGGATAGTCTTAAGTTTATATTGTTGATTTTCTTGTTTCTTTTTGGACACTAGTATTACTGAAAGTTTAATCTTACAACTTAAACAATTCGTAGTAAAGAAAATGTCTCATGGGTTTTAAGTGAGCAATTAACCATTACTTCCTACTGTAAACTTTTTTTTTTTTTTTTGAGACAGAGTCTGGCTCTGTCACCCAGGCTGGAGTGCAGTGGCACGATCTCGGCTCACTGCAACCTCCTCCTCCCAGGTTCAAGGGATTCTTCTGCCTCGGCCTCCCAAGTATCTGGAATTACAGACGTGCGCTACCACACCTAGCTAATTTTTATATTTTTTGTAGAGACGGAGTTTCATCATATTGACCAGGTTGGTCTCAAACTCCCAACCACAGGTGATCCACCCGTCTCAGCCTCCCAAAGTGCTGGGATTACAGGCATGAGCCACTGTGCCTGGCCTCCTCCATAAACTTTTAAGGACTTTGGAGATGGATCTAGTTAGCAATTGTTCTGTTGTTTCTGATTCTTATTTCTCATAGCTATAAATTTATCAAGTTCTCATCAGTACCAAGTGGTGTCAGCATATCCTGTAGAGCATTCTCTTGTTGTTTTCCCTGTTTTGAATACTTCCTGGTTTTTAATTATAAAATTGCACAGAATGGATATATGTCCCAAAACAATAACTAGTGTTTATATAGAATGAAAATTACATTTCTTTTTAACAAAAAGAGCAGGAAAAGTCTGAAGTTTCACATATAATTGTAGATTTAGAATCACGTGTAAGATGTTCTGCAAAGCTCATTCAGTATTAATAAGGGAATGTGTTTCTCCATTGTTACGGTGCTAACAAAGGGCATATTGCTACAAGCAAAGCAACTTTTTGTTAATAATGTTAATACATTGGGAAGTGGAATTTTAAGCATTTTTTCATCTTAACATGATAACTTGTATGTATATTATGTTTTATTTTTTAGAAAGTTGGTTTGTTGGTTTTGTGTTGACAAGTACTCCATTTCATTCTCCATTTCAAATAATGAAAAATAGTCTCCCAGTTAATATTTTAGCATAGAACCTCTAATTTTCAGATGCTTACTGACATTGAGAGGGAGATTCCTGTATGAATTGGTATCCTTAATATAACAGAGATGGTGAAATTCTAGATGTAGGATGTAGTCTTGGATTTATTTAGAAAAAAAAAAGCCTTAGCTAATAGTAGTCCTAATCAAAGCTATATTGAGTTAAAAAAATTTAAAAAAAACCTTGAAAGCTGTGAGCTATGTTTATCTGTAAATTTCAGAGGCCAACTATAATTCCCATTACCCTCCTTGTTGTCTCATTTTGTACATCTCTCTTATGGATTGTAATATTTAGTTAGCTGCTCCAAAAGTACTGCTGAAAAAATTTTCAATAAATACTGCAACCTAAATTTTCAGAGCACAAGAGAAGAATATGAGTCTCTCCAGCTCCTATTGCCTCCGTTTCTTCTTTGTGTTTGCTTTTTCCTTTTTCTGCTTAACTTTTTCTCTGTATTTTATTTTTCTCTTTTCTTAACTGCACATAATGTACAACTGAAATACATATGTTTCTGTGCCTCATATTTACAGCATTTTCTTTGCTAAGTGTTTTAGAATATGACAAAACTTAGCTGGGGAATATACCATGTTTCCTTACTATATGTAGCTGTCATCATTCCAAAAGAACGTATGGATTACTTCTCATTTGAGTCTACCAAAATGATATTCTAAAATATTCCATTTCAATGACTGTGGAAAGCATAATGTTTAAACTATACTTAAAATCACTTCATCTACCAGAAAATTGATCTGAAGGCTGCCCCTGTTTCTGAAAAAGTGCTAATAAACATGCATTCTGTGGGCATTTTCTCACTGCACTATAGGTGACATGCTTCGTTATATTCAGGAGAGTAAGGAACGTGCCGCAGAAATGGTAAAAGCAGAGGTACTGCGAGAACGTCAAGAAACCGCCCGAAAGATGCGCAAATATTATTTGATTTGCCTCCAACAGATTTTGCAGGATGATGGAAAAGAAGGGTGAGTTCAGTCTGAATAATGTGTCCTGAGATTACCAGGACAGCATGTTGTCATTTTTAAAGCATTTTCCTTAACCACTAAATTAACTATTTTTACGTGATCAGCCATAGGGAGTTAAGAGAGGTTTATGACTGTGCTACCAAATGTTGGCAGAGCCAATAGGAAAACAGAAACCGGGGTTAAGGCAACTCATTTTTTCCTTTAAACTATATTTTTAATATTCTGGAATTCCCCACAGGGCTGAGAAAAAGATTATGAATGCTGCTAGCAAACTTGCTACAATGGCAAAATTGCTGGAAACACCTATTTCTAGTAAGTCCCACAGCAAAACTACACAGTCAGGTATGTCAAAGTGAGTTACCAAATGGTTTTCCTATCTCTTCTTTTTTGGTTATTTAATATTTTGAGTATGAAAAAGGCAGAGAAGATAAGGAGTAAGAGTTAATTGATGAGGTTGTATAGTTTCACTTAAACTGCAAGTTTACAGAAAAAGAGTGTACAGTTACCAATTCAAGTAGGCAAACTGAGCAGGCCCATCAGCTTCCAATTGCTGCTTCCATCCCTAGAAATAGTAGAAAACATTTTCAACAGCAAATAAGAACGAGAAAAAGAGGAAATTATAACTGGGTCTTAAAAGGTTGCAATAGGACAGACATGATGGCTCACACGTGCCTCCCAGCACTTTGGGAGGCTGAGGTGGAAGGATCTCTTGATCCCAGGAATTTGAGTTTGCAGTGAGCTATGATTGTGCCACTGTACTCCAGCCTGGTTGACAGAGTGAGACCCTGTCTCCAAAAAAAAAAAAGTTTCAGTGGATAGACCAGAAGTGACAAGAAATCCCTGAGAGAAAGAAGACAGTATAGGATGGGAGATGGAAACCTCAGTTCAAAACCACTAAGAGATGACAACTGCAAGTAGGAGCAATATCAAAACTGTTCCACATATGAGGGTGGTACATTCCAGTAGAAGTAGAGGACCCAGGGGATATCAATGGGGTAATTAGTTGATGTTCTAGGCCAACAGCAACCAGGTGGTGTTAGTCCTCTCTTTAGTTCTCTTTCTCCCCTTCCTCCCCCAACCTCAATACTGAGCTGGGCAACAACAACAGGAACAAAGAATCTGGGAGCAGGGCAGTGCTCCAGGTGGCTAGCCATATCAAGCAGGAACTGGGAGTCCATATGTCCAGAGTCTCAGCCTTAGATCTTTCTACTCTATAGCTCATTCCCTCTACCCCGACTCTCAACCCCTTTAAGCAGTAGCACAAACAATTATGTTATCCAGGATATCTAAAAGCTAAGCATTTAACCAAGAATCACTATATATTTATAGAAAACCATAACTACACACACACACACACACACACACACACAGACATCACACTAATGGCAAAAAGAAAAAAATCCAGTAGAATTTATGTTTAAGAAAATTGAATTAATAGAATAAACAACATGACCTGAGAATGTTAAAAAGCACAGTATTCTAAGATGTAAGAGGATATGGTAGAGGAAATGAAAATTCACTAAGAATTTTACTATTTTTAGGGAAAGACTATAGATACTACTAACACTGGTCATTGCTAGAAAAATACAGGTTTTAAGTATGCCTGTTAAAATTTAAGAGTAGCCGGGCATAGTAGCTCTTGCCTATAATCCCAGCGCCTTGGAAGGCTGAGGTGGAAGGATTGCTTGAGCCCAGGAGTTTAAGACTATTGTGGGCAACATAGTGAGACATTGTTGCTACAAAAAAAAAAAATCTTTAATTTTTTAAATGGGGCACTCTGGTGTTGGGAGGATCACTTGAGCCTGGGAGTTCAAGGCTGCAGTGAGCTATGATCACACCACTGCACTCCAACCTGGGAAACAGCAGACTCTGTCTCAAAAAAAAAAAAAAAAAAAAAAGAATTAAGAGTAACCAACAAAGACAAGGAACATATAACTTTAAAACTGGTAAAGGAAAAACTTATAAAGAAACATTTTTAATCTAACAAAATCAGGCAAGAGGGAAAAAAAAATAGAAAGCATGCGTAAGTAGGACACAATAGTAGTTTGAAACATCAGCAATCACACTAAATATAAATAGGTTAAACTCAGTTATAAAAAGACCACAACTTTCAAATAGGGGTTTTTAAAAATATGGACATTTGCTGTTTTTACAAGAACATTTAAATTACAAATCAGGGGATGGAGAATGATATACCAAGCAAATGCAATGTTGATATTAGATAAATTTTTGAGATAAATAAAAGATTAGATAAATTAGAGTTAGCATTGAAAGGGACAAAGGTCATAGTTCATAATGATAATGGAGTAGTCTCCAAAGAAACTATTATTTTTTTCTTTCTGTATATAATAACACAGCTTTATATAAAGCAAGAGCTGATAGAAAAACATGAAAGAAATTGGTAAATTCTCAATCACACTGGGAGAGTTTTAACATATGAGTGGGGATGTGGGGCTTTTGAACCTCTGGAAAACTTGAAGCTGAGATTGTTTAGGAGTTCATGAGTGCGATGTTGGTAAATATTCCTCATGTAGAAGCATAAAGATTATTTGTATAAATTTTGGAATGGTGATGTGAACCTTGGGTATGAAAAGGCAGTAGCATATAACAAGAAAATAATTTTCTGGATCTGGTGCAACAGTGTACAAATAATGTCCCCAGTAGAGAAGCAAATCCTTTTCATAGACTCTAGAGACCAAGGCATGCCACTCTGAGATATAATGCCTCTAATTCCACGCTATGTGGCTGCTTTATCTTTGATCAGATTTAGTATCTTAGCTAATTAAATCAGAAAGTCTATGTAGCTGTTCTAGAAGTGTGTGTGTATGTATTGGGTGAGTTGGGTCTTTGAGCAAACTTGTCAGAAACTCCATTCTTGACATCAGTACAGAATTGAAAACATTGTGACTGGATCTTGAAATGCTATAACATCTACTGTAGAAAATGATAGGTCAGGTGGATAGCCATAATAATAATATATCAGATTTTGGTCACAAAATTACCAAGCTTTATCTAGTGGATATATGTAAAATAATATTTTTAAATGTCTGGCATTGATGTATCTTCTTTAAGAATGATTATCGCATATAAGTATTATTTGCGATAATCATTCTTAAATATACATAAAACTTTTTTGAAATTTTTGACTCAAGAATGAATCTTCCCTTTAAATATTAACTTTCTCTTAATTTTGTGTTTCCTTGCACATAATAGCTTTGCCTCTAACTTCAGAGAGGCTGATTGGAGTTGAAAAATCAAAAAGAAATGATGTGAATCAGAAAATACCATGTTATGATGAAAGCAAATCAAACAGTCTAAACACCATCACGAGAGGTGTATGCGAACAAGTTCCCAAGAGGAGGGCTGCTTGTAACTTACAAAGGCTGTTAGAGAACTCAGAGCATGGGAGCAGAAAGCATGTGGGATCCAAAGAGACACATTTGGAATTCCAGTTTGGGGATAGTAGTTGCAAGCACCTAAACAGTTTGCCAAGGAAAGCTTCTCATGAGTTTGTTCCTTGCGAAGGTGAAGGAGGCTTTGGTTTGCACAAGAAGAAACACCTACTCACAGATAATGGTTCTGAATCACTTCTGCATTCAGCTGCATACCCCTTTCTTGGAACTTTAGGAAGTAAACCCTCTCTTAGATGTACCCCTAGTCCTTCTGAATCAGGATGCATGAATATAATCTTTCATGATCCGAATGAAAGACTTGGTTTAAAAGTACATAAATGCAGTCTACCAATGGAAAGTGAAAATGTGGCGTCGGAGAAAAGTCAAGGTTTGGGTGTTCAGGAACCTCCAGTAAGAGATGGAGGGGACCTTAGCAACTCCTTGGGCTGGCCTTCCAGCAGTGCAGCTTTACCAGTTGACAGCCATCAAGCGTCATTTGTATGTAGTAGGCCACAAGGAACTTTGGAAATACCAACTGAATCTGTTAATTCTAAACAATTTTCACCATCCAGTTGTCTTTCAGACACAGAGAATAGTAATATGATTTGTCAAACAATGAAGTGTAAGCGTGATCAAACTCCATACCTGTCAGAAGAAACCACGTATTTGCAGCCAGGAGAAATCAGTGTGACTCATGGACATCCATCTCATCATAAGGCTAATATATTAAAGTCAGATTTCGAAAAACTGAGCAGTACATTACCATCTTCAGTGTGTCAGCAGCCTTCAAGAAAATTAATCGTTCCACTATCTAGCCAACAAGATAGTGGCTTTGATAGCCCATTTGTTAATTTAGACTAATTGTGGTACGGTATTTAAGAAGAATCGTTAATATATTAAAAAGAAAATGGAAAGAGAAGACTTCATACTGAAAAAAACAATTGTGAGCCCTGCCTCTTGTGAGATGTTTTAATAACATCTGTTATATGAGTAAAGCGTTCTCCTAAAATTACTTGAGATATTTATGTTTCCTTAATATTCCAAAGGCCGGATGGTGTATGTATAATCGGCTTTTGTGTGGTGCATTTTTGCTTGCTAAACCATCTATTTTTATACTCATAAACTGACTCACTCTTCAGTGTTAAATTATTTAAATAAACTTGCATATGGTCTGTAGAATTGTTTTGAATTATTTTGTAGTTCAGAATATAGAAATGTCATATTGGCATCATGTTTGAAATTCACCCAGAAAAAAACATAAATTTTGAGTTGTGTGTATTATCAGCCAGATTTAGTTTTTGAAATTAACCTCATGTTTAATGAGGCTGTAAACTTAGTCTAAACTTTCCTAGAAATATCTATTCAAACTTTTGATCTTTGTTTTCAGTTAGAGAAAAGAGGTTTTCCAGGGTTGACTACAAAATACATTGCTGTGTCTTGGTTTTATTACTGAAATATTAGTCTGAATTTTTTCAGTTCATATTTGCATTATTTCAGATCACCTGTGACATCCAAGAGCTTTGTCTCTTTTATGGCTTCACATTTGTTCTTTCATCTGAAATACTACCTTTTGAAAAAATTGAGGTAAGTTTTGTCATGTAGCAAAAAATGTAAAACTATTAGATTTTTACATTTCATTTATAGTACAGAACTGGCTAATTAATGCTCTGGGTTAAAGGTTGTAATTCTAAACTGAAGAATACATGAAGAAATGAATGACTACCTAAATAGCATTTTTTCTAGGTGAATTCTTTTTCAGATTCCTAGAGATCAGTATGAACATTTAGGTGTTTGCAAGTGCTTCCTGAAAACAGGTAACTAGTTTTCTCTCACATCTCCCACTATAACCATATTATGGATTGTATTTGGGGGTTAATCCAGTGTATTTTTCCACCCAGAACCAGATAACTTAGGTGGTGATGGGGTAGATGCCAAGATGCATCCTCCTCTTCCTGATAACCATCTCTAAAAGCAAGAACCTAGAAGGAAAACTTCTTGGGCTTGGGAAGCTCTGTCACCTTAACTGATGACCAGGGGTAAATAAGCCTAAAATTGGCACTGGATTTCAGTGCTTGAATTAACATACAGCTATAGTAAGAAACAAACCATCTTGTCAAAGTCTCGCTTGTATTCCTGAAGACTCAATGCCCTTCTCCAACAGACTGTCATCTCTCTAAAAAACTCTAAAACCAGCCAAGTTTATGCTCCCTGTGGATCTTGTTGGTGCTTGATTGTTTTAAGCCCCGGTTTTTACTAGACTTAGAATCTAGGCTCATTGCTCACCTACGTTTTCTACTTAGTTCAAAATCTGTGTCAGTTATTGAATCTCTCAACATTAAGGTTGAAATTGGTAGTCTTGCTTTCTGCTCCTTTTATGGTATCCTTAATCTTTTTTGATACTCATAATCTCAATAGGATTAAGTTACTTTATGTCATACATCCTGTATCCAATTGGTTGGAGACAGGGTGTTGCATAGGGTGTATGACATAACATAACTTGATCCTATTAAGTAATCCCATAAAGAAACCAATCTTATCCAATTGGTTGGATATAGGGTGTATGACATAAAGTAACCTATTATGATAAATTGATCAATCAAAGGTATAAATTTATCAGTTTGCAAAATGAAGGCACTACACAGCCAAATTATGACTAGTAATATAGCAGAACTGAAGAGAGGAAGGAGCCCTGTAGATATCATGATTACATAAATCTCACTTTGTCATGATATTTAGTCCTTTTTAATGGTGCTGGATTTTTATGTGCTAATGTTATGTTAGGGTATTGGTTTCTTGTTTTCTCATGCTCTCTGTATTGCTTTTGTAAAAGGGTAATACCAGTCGCATAGGATACGTTGGTAAGTGTTCCCTTGCCTGTTTTCTGAAATAATTGGTTTAGGATTGGTATTATTTCTTCTTTATATATTGGATAGAGTTTACTAGGTGAAGGCTTCTAGCCTGGTCTTGTGGTGGGGGTGGTGCAGGAGTGTGGATTTTAAGTAACTTATTTTCTTGTTATAGAGCTATTCATAATTTCCATTTTTTCTTTAATCAGTTTTGATAGCTTTTTGTTTTTGAGGAATTTGGCTATTTTTTCTAAATTGTCTAATTTGTTGACACAAGTGACTGTAGTATTCTCATAATCTTTTAATTTCAGTAGGCTTGATAATGATGTCCCCCATTCATTCCTGATTTTGGTATTCTGTGTCATCTCATTTTTTTCTTAGGCAGTCTATCTAAAGGTTTATCAGGGTTGTTGATTTTTTTTCCCTCAAAGAACTTCTTTTGGTTTCTTCTCTTTTCTCTTGTTTTTCTGTTTCCAATTTTATTAATTTTTCCCTCTGATTTTATTTTCTTCCTTCTGCTTGCTTTATATATAATTAACTTCATTTTCATTCTTAAAGTAGTTTATTGATATGAAACTGTTCTCTATTGATATAGATATTTAAAGCTCTGAATTTCTGAGCACTGTTTTAAGTTGCACCTCATATTTTGATACGTTGTATTGTTGTTTTCATTTAGTTCAAAATATTTTCAAATTTCCCTTGCATGACCCACAGATTATTTAGAAGTTTGTTACTTTATTTCTAAGAATTACAGAATTTCCAAATTTCTTTGTTATTTTTATTTGTTGTTGGTGAATATACTTTGAATGATTTCAAACCTTTTAAATTTTTTGAGACTTGTTCTGTGGCCTGGCATATGGCCTATCCTGGAATGTTTCACATGCACCTGAAAAGAATAGATATTCTGCTCTTTTCTGATGGAGTGTTCAGAATGTTAGTTCAAGGTGGTTGATAGGATTCTTCAAATCTGCTGTAGCCTTGCTAATTTCCTTTTTACTTTCAACTGGTTATTAAGAGTGAGATATTGTAGTCTCTCACTGTCATCGTTCAACTATTTTTTTCTTTCAATTCAGAAATTTAGTTTTTTGCTTCATGTATTTCGAAGCTTTGTTGTTAGGTGTATATACCTTCATATCTGTTAACTCTTTCTGATGAATTGGCCTTTTATTATTTTAAAAATCTCTATTTGTCTCTCCTATCTTTCTTGTTTTAAAGTCCATTTTTGTCTGTAATTACTACAGCCACTCAAGCTCTCCAAGGATTACTATTTGCATGACATATTATTTTATTTTTTAAATAAATTCAGTCAGAAAAGCTTTGGAGTTTTGGGTCCATTAAAATTTACTATAATTTTGTTGGGTTTGCATCTTCAATTTTGCCATTTGGTTACTGTATATCTTTTGTTATTGGATTGCTCCTTTATCGTCGTCTTCTACATTAAACAAATATTTATGAGGGTACCATTTTAATTTTTTTTAAACTACTTTTGAGCTATTTTCTAAGCAGTGTCTCTAGTTATTACCATAGGTATCTTAACTTATTACAGCTTACTTAAGATGAATATTGACTAACTTCTGGTAAAAAAAAGTTAGTAATTTCTAGTAAAAAAGCTAAACTTTGCCCCAGTTTAGTTTCATTTCCTTGCTCCTCCTCTGTGCTATATTTTGTATATGTGTATATCTGTGTGTATGTGTGTGTGTATTGCAGTGTTTTAATTATTGCTCTCTAATTTTTTTCTTTTGAGATGGAGTGTTGCTCTTGTTGCCTAGGCTGGAGTGCAGTGGCATGATCTTGGCTCACTGCAACCCCTGTCTCCTGAGTTCAAGAGATTCTCCTGCCTCCACCTCCTGAGTAGCTGGGATTACACACATGCATCACCATGTCCAGCTAATTTTGTATTTTTAATAGAGACAGGGTTTCTCCATGTTGGTCAGACTGGTCTCTAACTCCCGACCTCAGGTGATCTACCCTTCTTGGCCTCCCAAAGTGTTGCGATTACACATTGAGCACCGTGCCTGGCCCATTATTTCTTCAATTATTTTTTTCTGCCCTTGTTTCCTCTTTCTGGGGCTTTCATGTATATTAATATGCTTACCATTGTGTCACAGGTCTTTGAGGCATTGTGCATTGTTCTTAAATTATTGTTTTTCGTATTGGTATTGAATAATTCTAGCCTATCTGTAAGTTTCCTGATCTTTCTGCTTTCTCAATTCTGCTGTCTAGCCTATCTAAGAATTTTCATTTCATTTCTGATTCTAGAATTTTCATTTGGCTTTTTATTAATGTATAATAGTTGTACATATTTTGGGGATACACATATTTTGATATATGAATGCAATGTGTAATGATTGACCAGGGTACCTGAGACGTCTATCACCCTAAACACTCACTCTTTCTTTATATTGGGAACATTCCAATTTTTTTCCTCCAGCAATTTTGAACTTTTCAATAAATTGTTAACTATGCTTACCCTTCTATACTAGAGTGGTTGGTTAATGGTTAATGGATACAAAAATATTATATTTGCCTTTTTTTTTTTTTTGACAGTGTATTACTCTGCCTCCCAGACTGGAGTACACTGGTGCAATTATGGGTCACTGCAGCCTTGAACTCCTGAGCTTAAGTGATCCTCCCACCTCAGCCTCCCAAGTAGCTAGGATTACAGGTATATGCCACCATGCCTGGCTAATTACTGTTAATTTTTAATTTTAGATAAGGGATCTTCACCATGTTGCCCAACCTGATCTTGAACTTCTGGCCTCCCAAGGTGCTGGGATTACAGGCGTGAGCCACCAGACCTGGCCACATTTGGCCCTTTAATAGTTGCTTATGGGAGTTTGGGGGAAGGTGGCGCTGTAGGAGCAGCTCAGGATTGCAGCTACCAGTGAAAGTGCAGAGGGTGAATGGACGCCGCATTTCCAGACGGATCTTTATTGCCCACAGACCCAGAGATTCCCAGGTGGAGGAGCCCCACGGGTCACCATCGCGGCTGTTTTGACCGGCGCGGCTGTATCGGCTGGTGCGGCTGTTTCGGCCAGCGCTGCCGTGCAGCAGCTCTCCATACAAAATACACTGGCCTGGTTACCCTGTTAAACTGGCAATTGGAGATCCGGGAAGGCAGATTAGCCCATTCATCTTTTTAAACGGGACTGAAACATACAACATAAAGCCAGGAGAGGAGATTCCTGGGCAGCCACGTTGTTTCAGCTGGCACAGTGGGTCGTCGCACGGGAAATCACACAGATCCCGGCGCCCTTTCAGCAGGCGACTGGAACACCTGGGAGAGAGTCAACCGTTTAACTTTAAAAAAAAAAAAAAGGCTCTGAGGCAGGG